CGATGATGATGAGCCGATCTGAACGATGATGATGAGGCGATGATAAGGATGATGAGCCCGATCGCCAGATCAAGACTTCGGCGTTGAGGAGCCGGTCTATGATATAAATCATCACATCGTGGCCGAGGGGGGCCGGTCGTGATGTATGGGCGTCGGCACTGAAGGGCCGATCCAAGGATCCAAGCAACAGTCGCCATCCATGAAGGGAGGATGACTAAGACTGATCTTGAGATAGATAATCACGTCGTGCCGAGAGGTCGATCGTGATGTGCGGATGGCGATGATGATGAGCCGATTCGAGTAATGGTGACGAGGCGCTGATGAGCCGATCATCATATAAAGGCGACGGTTGTTATCTCGGAAGGGAATAACAAGCCCGGTCGCTAGCTCAAGACACTTGGCGCTGAGGGAGCCGGTCTTGAGCTAGATCATCACGTCGAGGCCAGGGGGCCCGATCGTGATGTGCGGATGGAGATGATAGGGAGCCAATCTGAATAATGATGACGAGGTGCTGATGAACCGATCGTCATATGGAAGCGATGGTCGCCATCCAGGAGGGGAATGGTGAGCCCGGTCGCTAGCTCAAGACACTTGGCGCTAAGGAGACCAGTCTTGAGATAAAGCATCACGCCGAGGCCGGGGGGTCGGTCGTGATGAGCGGGTGGCGATGATGGGGAGCCGATCCGAATAATGATGACGATGTGATGATGAGCCGATCATCATATAAAGGCGATGATTGCTATCCCGGAAGGGAATAGCAAACCCGGTCGCTAGATCAAGACACTTGGCGCTGAGGGAGCCGGTCTTGAGCTAGATCATCACGTCGAGGCCGGGGGGCTGGTCGTGATGTGCGAATGGCGATGATGGGGAGCCGATCTGAATAATGATGACGAGGTGCTGATGAACCGATCGTCATATGGAAGCGATGGTCGCCATCCAAGAGGGGAATGGTGAGCCCGGTCGCTAGCTCAAGACACTTGGCGCTGAGGAGGCCGGTCTTGAGATAAAGCATCACGCCGTGGCCGAGGGGACGGTCGTGATATGGGGTCGGCGATGCTGGGAAGCCGATCCACTAATATGATGACGAGGCGATGATGAGCGGATCGTCATATAGAGGCATGACGGCGCTGGGGAGGCCGTTCATGAAATGATGGAGCAAGAGCTTCGGCATTTGGAGCCGGTCTTGAGATGAATAATACGTTGGGAAATTTATTTATTTTTATTGCTCGAGGCCGGCGAGTGTGCGGTCCGTCGGCTTCCCTTTTTTTTTTTGCTTCTTTTGATCGAGCGAGAAGTGTTGCCTCTGGAGGCTGTGGCCGAAGGGGTACTGCGCCTTCATCAACATGCGGGTATTTTCCTCTACGCTTCTATGGCGTGGACTAAGACGAGGGAATCATTGTGCCCTCGGCTTAGCGTGTCAGTGGCTTTTGTTTAGGGGCCTTTCCTCGCCTATTTATGACGAGGGACCAGATTAGCCATTGTCTCGCGACGGTTGTCCTTGTCGGTCCTTATAGAAATTTTACTGACAGAGGGAGTTTTTGTAACCTCGGCCTTCTTTCAGGCTTGTCGTCCTGCGGTTTCCGTGCGGACGACGCGGTATGCTTCTCCGTTTGAAGACGTCGGACCATACAGACAGGTCCTTCGTCCTACATATCGTTGACCATTTCTGGGTGTTTCACCGCCTGGGCCGATGCGATATTTAGTCGTGTTTTGTTTTTCCTTGCTTAAATTTTAGAAAATAAGATGATCACGACGATTTAGGTTTATTGGGTTTCCTTTACTTGAATCTAAAAAGACAAATGGAACTCGCAATGAGTGCGTCGTCTATTGCAACGGCTTTTGGGGTGCGTTGTCTATTGCAACGGCTTTTGGGGTGTGTTGTCTATTGCAATGGCTTTTGGATGACGCAATTAGCGTCTAGGGGAATGAGGTGTATCATTTACCGCTTTTAGGCATGATGCCATGTGCGGCCGATGACGGCTCTCATTTTAGATGCCCGGGTCATCAAATAAAGATGACCGGGGTAGGTCGAGAGACCCAAATATAATCTGAATCATCAAATAAAGATGTTCAGAAGGTTAAGGCTTTGGCCGGCACCATTTGGGGATTTTAACCCGCTAGCAACAGTGGTGATAATAATAATAATAGTAGTAGTAATTATTATTATTATTATTATTATTATTATGTTTTTCTTTTGAATAGTGGTAAAACTATATATATATATATATATATATATATATTTTTAATAGTAGTAAAACTATAGTTTTTCCTATTTAATGCATAAAATAGGAGGAAAGTTTTGTGGCACTTACTTGTATTTGGGCCGAAGCCTGCCCTGCTTAGAATTCCAGCAGGGAGATACAATTGATCGGGTAAGGGCCGGCTGATTGAGAATTCAGCCTTTGTGATTAATAGCCGGCCCAAGTGTTGTTGGCCCACTAGCTCATTTAAGCTTGAAAGCGTGACTCCAGGGGAGGAACAATTGATAAGCGGACGAGGGAAAGGCTTTTGACTTGGCCGCGTGAGCACGAGGACGCAACTCCAGGCAGTCCAATTGCACATGCCTCGGCTTGACGCCGGGGTGCAGAGACGGCCCATCTACCCCGATCGGTGGATATTGGGGCTTAGGTCGAGGACCGAGGTGAAACCCCGCTGCCCCCAAGATGAGATGGCCGATGGAGTTCACCGCAGTGGCCCGGCCGATGGTGCGCTGCCTTGACAGAGGGTTGCTTCATTCGTTGTTGTTAAGTCCTGGCCGAGGGGAAGCTACCTGTTTCTTGGGGGAGGGTCCCATTTGGCCGAAGAGAAAATACTTGTTTGAACTTAGCCCCACATCTTGGCCGAGGGTTCACTTTCTTTTTCCCTCTTTTTTGTTTGAGTTTGACCAAGGCAACAGCTTTTGGCCGTCATCTGTCATACATCTGCTTCCTTTGGCCGACGAGTGGACGGTTGACTCCAAGCTGGGATGGATGAGGTGGTGTCCAGTGACTTCACTCCAAAGTGAAGTGTGCTCCTAGCCGAAGGGTAATGTTACCCAATAGTTGGGCCAAGGGATGCCCCTTTGTTTATTTACATAGGAGTTTTATTGGTTGGGGAGGATCTCAAGTGATATATTGTTTATGGCTCCCATAGGGAGAGAAGAGAGAGCTAGAGAGATAACGTGATACGTACAAAGTGAATTCCCAACTTCCCATTTCCCATCCTTTACATGGCTCCCATAGGGAGTATTCATAGGAGTAAAGAGGGTTGAGCTTCCAGGCTTGGGCCTGGCTGGCCCAGTTACAATAAAAGACCAATAAATAGTATTTAATCTATTCTAATGGATATACATGAATAAAATAGAGTGTATAATGAGATAAATGTTATCTACTGAGCGAATGTGGGCCTGTCCGGACCCAATAATCGTGAGACTCAGGGGTCCGAGTCTATATACTCTATCACTAAGCTTTATAGATGTGTATGAATTTAAGCTATTCTAAGAGCATTAGATGAGTGGGGTGAAAACCGAAGTGGTGAAGGTGAATCAGCACTTGTGTTTGTTGGATGTGTTCGAGTGAATCTTTGATTCCCTTCTTTTCCACTTCGCTTCTACACTTGTTCTTCACCCACTCCTTCTGTATTTATAGACTTTGTTGTTGAATCGCGACCGTTGGCTGAGGAGTTCAATCTTGACTGTTGCTTGATCTACTTGTTTTGTTCCACTTCATTGAAGGCAGCATGGTTTGTTCTTGTCTTCTTATGACACAGATCAAATCTTCACTCAACTTATTTTCCTCATCTCAAGGCAAAGATAAAGATTGATATTTCTTTATTTCTTTAGCTCGTAGAGATTTAGTATATAAGTTGAGTGTTTGTTCAATGCTTCCGTACAATGAAATCACTTGCTTTTAGCAAAATAAATTTATAAGAAATTTTTCATAATGTGGTAAAAATTTCTTATAAAATTACTTTCTATCTTTTTGTCATTTTTACTGCAAGTTGATCTTTTGTTTAATTGTTTTTGTGCTTTAGACTTTAGAGAAGATAGTAGATTTCAATTGCCTTGTCTGGGAAACTGAGGTAGGAGCCAGCTGAAATGTTTTCAGTAGGCTATTGCTTTGGTTTTTCTAGATGGCTGCCGATTTCTTAAATGATTCAGTTGACTCTTTTCGTACCTTTTCTTTTTTATTCTTTTCTTTTTGTTTTTGGTACGTTTCTTCTCTTTTGAGTACTCTTTGATTTTTTTGAGTACTTTGTCACTAATATAGTAGCACATTACAATAAACATAGTAGAACAAGTATATGAGAATCTAGTCTAATACAGGGATAATAAAAGAGGTTTGGCATCATCAAAACCATATATATTAATCGTCAAAATCAAGGGACCTAACAATTTCCCCCTTTTTGATGATGTCAAAAACTGGAATAAAAACAAACAAAATGAGACATGAAATCACACCTGAGATGCCAAAATTCTTTCCCCCTTTTTCTGCATCACTCAAAATGTACTTTCTTCTTTGCTTGGAAGGGCTTTGCTGAGATGATTCCCCATGATAAATTCCCAAGGTAGCCTTCATCTTTCTTCTTTCATTTGTTTGTTTGACTTCTTCCAATCTGCGCTGGTATATCTTGGTGATGTGTTCCATTGAGATTACAACCTCAATGCTTTTCGTTCTTAAGCATCCCAGAGCAAATCGTTCTTCTTGTTGCATGTGAATTGCAGTCTGGAGAAGATTGTTGAGTTAGGGCTGGGTTCGGTTTGGGACCCGAACCGATTTGTCGGTTTGAAAAAACCGAACAGATTTTTCGGTTTTGGAGAAAATGTAAACCGGAACCGATGTAGAATCGGGAACCGGTTTTTTGGGAACCGAAAAATCGGTTCGGTTTAACTGGGACCCGCCAAAGACATCCTTTAATATGCAAACTAAGACCTGTAAACATACTTTGGTGCTAAACTGCAGTTTTTTAAGCAAAGTTAAAAAGATTATGTAAAGAAGACTCTAACCAAGTACTGAATCACTTGCTCACTAAAAAAAATTCACACACAATATTAATCATTAATCATTCACCAACAATAATAAAATCCAACAACACCCATAGTAAAATCCAACAGTCTATTTCATAACAAATCGAACATTCAACACAATAAACATCCAATCCTTTAACATCCCATAAGATGGGAACAAATCAAAACCAAATTCAAAAGTAGATACGTTGAGTTTAATTTAAAAAGGACAATGTTCAAGAACATCCAAGTAGACTAACAAAGGACTTCAAAGTTGAGAGCATGTGTACAGCGTACTGCCATTAATCATCCTGCATTTCACATAAAAATAAAAAATGTTAATATATAATATATCAATAAGGACTGCCATACATGATTACCAGATTATGTATATTAATGCATTATATATATTACGCAAGTATGTGTTGATAACTTGTTAAATCAACATGAAGAATATGGCTTCAGTAATCACATCTCGTGGCCTCTAAAAATAATGCACTGCCATAGCTACCAGAAACTTTTGCAAGTGACTTTTTATATGCTTCATAGGAAAAAGCTAGAGCTTCTCCTAGGAGCTAGAAGGGAAAAAGACATCTAATAAATTCTAGGAGACATCAATCTTCTTCACTTCACCAGTGGATCCGTAATATATTCCCTCTACAACTCCTATTCTCTTAACTTGTTAATAGGGCAGAGCACGGGTCGGGTTCGGGCGGGTCGGGTTCAAAAATGGTAAACCCCGTTCGGGTATCGGATTGATAATTTCAAACCCTACCCGATCAAAAAATTTATCGGGTTTTTCGGGTTGAAGAAGTTCGGGTTTCGGTCGGGTTGGTTCGGTTTTCGGGTCCATTCGGATTTTAATTTATTATTGTTGAAATTGTGATACATAAAATGGTAATTGGTAAAAATATCATTCAAAGTTATACTAGTATAACATTCAAAGTAATAGTTGTATAAATACGGTAATCGACATATTTGAACATGTAAAATAATAATATACGGTGATTGACATATTTGATATTAGATAAATAAAATGATAATTGGTCAAAATATCATTCAAAATCATAACAATACAACATTCAAAGTTATAGTTTTACAAATACGGCAATTGGAATATTTGATATGCATAATATGGTAATTGGCATACAATAATTGAGATATTTGAACATGCATAATAATTCAAAGTAGTATATATACTACCCTAGTTCGGGTTTTCGGGCTGGTCGGGTAGCATAATTGGTAACCCTACCCGCTACCCGCTTAACTCTCGGGTTGCAAAAATCGGATCGGGTTTGGGTCATTCGGGTCGGGTTATCCGACCCAAAAAATAAAATCGGATATATCCGATCGGGTCAATCGGGTAGGGTCGGGTTTGCTCTCCCCTACTTGTTAATATGTATGAATTCAAAGTTTAATTCATTCTCTCAACAACTATGATTCTTTGTGGAAAAAAACAAACAAACTGGACATTAAAATTTAAAACAGCTTATTCAAGCTAAGAGACTGACCAACTAGAGGTTTGTCATCCTAGTCCACCCCTTTGGTTCATGTTCGCAGTTTGTCAGGTTCTGAGGATCTTTCTCTCAATAATGGCCCTATTTAAGAGTTAGTTAGAGGACAATATATCATAATAAATGTAGATCAAAATTACACAGTTCAACAAAAAATTAAAAATATCAATTTCATATATGAAATTTAGACATGTTAACAATAATACTCTATAACATTTATGATTTTCAGAATACTCAACAGTATACTTACCAGATTATGTAAATTAATCCATGATGTATATTATATTACATTATAATATAAAAAAAAGCTAATGGGAATGAGAATAGGAAAGAAAACCTTCATCAAGTTGTCATGGATGATTAGATGATCCCATACTTCTCCCACGTTTTCTTGTGTTTGATGGAGCCCCTCTTGAACCTACACGTGAAATTGGTGGGAGTTGGCTTTGAACTTGAGAGCGTGATGGTGGGGGTGGTAATGTTAAATTTCCTTGAACAGGTGGTGGCACTTGCACTACATTAGGCATACCTATATTAGTAGTTTTGGACTTTTAATAACCACAACAAATATAATAATAATATTAATAATAATAGTAAACCAATAATAATAATAATAACAATAATAATTAATAATAGTAATAAATTACTCAAGAAAGTTAGCCACTTACTTTGCTCTAGTTCTTCAAGTTCCTTATAGAACTCAAGCTCTTCATCTGTAGGCTCTTTGTAGAAATGGAATTCTTCCCCTTTTAGCCAATCACGAGTACACACTAAGGCCTCAACCATTCTAGGAGTTAATGAAGCTCTAAATGGATCCACAACCCTCCCCCTAGGCTAAACGCATTCTCACTAGCAACCGTAGAACTCGGGATAGCAAATACATCTCTAGCAACCTTAGCAAGAGTTGGATAATTCCCACTATTGACTCTCCACCAATCTAATAAATGAAATTCATCATTTCTTGTACTCTCATAAGCATCATTGAAGTACTTATCTACTTCATTAGCTATCTCCTTAAGCTTGGCCTCTCTTCTTTGCTTATTAAGCTTTCGTTCTGCTCTTGCTTCCATGTCATCTAGATCATCGTCATCATCTTCCTCCATTTGAACCTCTACACAAGACTGGTCAACATTCTTTGCCTTATATGCATCATACAGTTTATTCAAGTGGCCTTTCACTTCACTCGTCATAGCTTCAACTTGCTTGGAAGTGAACCCAAGATCTTCCAAGTGTATTTCAATCATTTGCAATTTGTATATTGGATCAAGAGCTTGGGCCACAAAGACTGCTAGGTTCATTTTATCAAAAGCACCCCAATACTTATCAAACTTTAGCTTCATTAATTCAGCCACACTTTGCAATATAGGATCTTTGGGATCCCCAATCTTCCTATCAATTTCTAGTTTCAAGTTGACCAAACATCTCAGAACTAGATGTGATGTAGGGCTCTTCGTGGCACTAAGTTTGATAGTGACATCATAGAACTTTTTTAGAAAATGTGCAAAGGCCATTGCTTTCTCCCAATCTTCCTCTTCCGGAGGTCCCACTCTCTTGACTTTCACTTTTTGGCCATCAACCTCTCTCATTACTTACTCACAAAAATATGCATGAAATTGTGTGCTATCTTCACGCAACCTTGCAAAAACGCCTTTGTACTTATAAGCACTATGAAGCATAGAATAGGTTGCATTCCACCTTGTCACCACATCCAAAGGAACGGTTGCCATCTTATCCTTCTTCTCCAATACTGCACAATCCCTAAACTTATCCAATCTTGCACTTGAAGAATGAATATACTTCACACAATTCCGAATGCCCTCAATGCAGTCAGCCAGTTCCTTAATCCCATCCTTTACAACCAGATTAATAATATGACATGTGCACCTCATATGCAAGTGATAACCGTCAAGAAAAAGATCATCTGGTTCTTTAGCTTCTTCTTCATGTACTCAACCGCAACATCGTTGGAACTAGCATTATCAACGGTAATACTAAAAACTTTGCTTATGCCCCACTCATTCAACTTTTCTTCAAGACACCTACCAATATCATCACCCTTATGCGAAGTGATCTTAGAAAAGTCTATCACCCTTTTGTGCAACTTGAACTCCATATCTATGAAATGAGCGGTGACCACCATGTAATTGATATTTTGGATTGAGGTCCAAGTATCGGTTGTGATGCTCACCCTCAAATCACCGATTACACTTTTAATCTTCGCCTTCTCCTCACAAAACAGATCCCATACCTCTACGACAATCTTCTTTCTATTAGGAATCTTATATTTAGGTTGAAGATCACTAATAAAAGCTCTAAAGTCCGGCTGGTCAACTGTCCTAAAGGGTAACTCTCCTTTGATGATCCACTTCACACACTTCATGTCGAGTCTTTTTTTATTGAAATTATGAATTTGCACCTCGCCTCCCAAACTCGCTTGAGTTAACATTGGCTGATTTGGACTAGTCCTATTGCAAAGAGGAGATCCCGCACACCGATACAAATGATTAAGAAGGGCGGTCATGCCATTTTTCTTAGAATCTGCCCGGTACTCTTTTTTGCAATAGTTGCATATGCCAATTGGATACACATTGCCCTCATCATCTTTACCTTCCCCTTTGAACAATGTTTCCAAACAATACTCTTCCCTTGTTTCTTTTTACTGGCAACGCCATTAGTATCTTGCATTGTCTCTTGGGTTTGAGATTGTTCCTCATCGGGAGAGCTTTGAGGCTGGGAACCTGAATCTGCATCCATCTAAATAACATTTAAGTTAGAAGTTGAATTCATCTAAAAGAGCATTATAAGCATTATAATTAGTTGCATGAACTGAGTTGGTTAAGTAAAGCTATGTTGAAGCTTTAGTGTGCCTCTTACAGGATATTGTCTTTCTTTTTTATCTGTTTTTGCATATTTCATGTCTCAAGTTACTGTACCTGTCACGCCCCGGACCTATCCGGACACGTCAACAACCCGCCGTACAATACGAATAGTCAACCGCAGTCCAACACATTCATATTATACAAGGCGTCTTGAATATCATTCACACATATACATCCATAAACAAACATAATAAGTAATTCATAACGCAGCGGAAACATTGTTTAAAACAAAAGGCCACACAAGGCATTTCATGAGCGCGCAGGCTCCATAGTAAAATATCCATGAGCACGTTTAGGAAGGTTTAAAAACAGAATGGAGGAAGCACGAACCAAGTCTTCCCTCCTATATGATCTCTCGAGCAACGAGCACAGGAAGCAAGCTCTAGCCTCAACCTGAAAAATGGTGGTGGGACGCCCCCGAAGGGGTCAGTACTCTATACGGCTATAAAGTACTGGTGTGGCAGGCATCTAATAGATATACAACAAGTATTTCAAACACAAGACCCTCAAATAGGGTGATAGTACATTATGATTTGTAACCCTAGTTACCCCGTTTAAAAATATACTTACTTAATATAAAAGTCAAGTAGTCGGCCCGTGGGCCCATGTTTATTTGGAAATCACCATTCCCAACCCCGTGACTATAAGCCACGACAACTCCTAGAGTCCAACCCTAGTACATGACATTGTATTCTAGAGCTCGGCTCTACCACATCACCATACAATTCATATACCTCGGGTCAATCTCCCTACCTTGCGTTCTAGAGCTCGGCTCTATCACATCACCACGCAAGTCCTAGAGCTCGGCTCTAGCTATACAATACATAGACTCCAAGTCTACACCTTACATGCATTCTAGAGCTCGGCTCTATCACATCACCATGCATTAAGGTCCAATTCTCAAGCAACCCTATGCCTAGAATTGACATATCATTAAACTACCATGGGTCATCCTTAAAGACTCCCCATAACTTAACCTTAGTTCCATACTAAGTTATCATATACACTTGAATGATAAGCGTTTTATTAACGTGTTTTATATATTCACCTTAAAACGCTTTCATGTGTAAAAAGAATAAAATCTTCACACATCTGCCTCGTTTTGCTAGAAGTGTTCTAAATCAACGATTGGATCAAATACAAGGATGGTAGAATACACACGAAGAAACCGACGGAAAAAGGTCAACCAAACGCATCCCGAGGAACAAATAAAGACCACAAAAAGGCCCAAGACGGACGAAAGCCGCCCGGTTTATGCCAAAGGCGGCCGGCCTTTGGTCCCCAAGCTCATTTTCGCGTCCAAAACTGGAAAAACTGATCCGGAGCAAGAAAGGACGAAAGCCGCCCGGCTTTCGTAAAACCCGGCCGACTTTTGGTCGCCGAATGAATTGTTCAGAATTAAATTACAAAAGCCGCCCGGCTTTTGTAAACGACGCCCGGTTTTCGGGCCCTGGAGCGAAGGCAGGCTATTTTAAACGCGCAAAAGCCGCCCGGCTTTTGCGAATCTCGCCCGGTTTTCGTCTGGCACTGATTAAAACAGGCAACGGTCATCACAATCATTCGAGAGAAGCTCCAAACCCCATTAAGGAGCTTGCTTCCTTGTCCAAAAATGGCCGTTGAAGACCCAATATTTAAGCATATGGAAGCCCTCTCAAGTGAATATTCCATATTCCATACACTTTACTTCCATTTTAGCACTCCAAGATCAACCCCTTGGTCTTGGGAGAAGTTCTACACTTGGGGATCCCATTATCCACCATAGCTTTGGAGTTGTGGTATTATCTTCTTATGTATTTCATTGTATTTCATCATTTCAATACTTGTAATTTCATTATGAGTTGTTCTAGCTAATTTTCCATAGCCAAGGTTAGGGATGAAACTTTACGCACTCTAGGTGCTTGATGTATGTTCTCAACCAAATTGTTATGATCTTCCCTTTATATTTTAATGTGTATGACTACGGTGTACAACGTATGATTATATCGTTGGGTTTATTTGAGCAATTAACGTTGAGTTATAAACCGTGCACTTAAAGGCTAGACATATTCTAATTGTGGATAGAAATATACCTCAATTGAATATGGTGGTTGTAATAATGTCCTAATCTTCAATGGGGTTAATTTTAGATGAATGTGAACCGTGACGGGATTCACACGTAGAATTAATCACAATCTCGCTGCCGTAACAGGAGTTAGAATACTTTAGTGACATTCCACTCATAAGAATTGGTGAAAGAATATACATTAATCGCTAGGAGTCGTTTAGGAGTAATCCCGAACCCTTGGTTGCTTTTATTATCACTTGAAAAACCAAAAATCTTTACTCTTTTACCAAGTCTTTTACAAATTATTTTCTCAACTTTTGAATCATATAAACAACGTTTCCTTGTGTTCGACTCGGTATTTTTACCGGATTTTATTACTACATCGGTACTTGTACACTTGCAAGTCTAAGCCGATCAAGTTTTTGGCGCCGTTGCCGGGGAAACGGTCTTGTTTATTTGATTCAACAAAAAATTCCTGAATTTTCCCTTTACGTTTCACTTGGTTTTGTTTTGAATTTTGTTGTGTAGACAAGCTCTTAGTGCATGCTATTGAGAAGTCAAGGCTCTACAAACCTTGAACCTATCAATTTTGAGATTGAGAGAGCTTGTAGAAGGAATCGGAAGGAGAAGGAAGCAAGAGTACCAACAATGCTTCCCACACTCAATGAACGGAAGAGGCCCGTCATTGCAACCACTCCTTCTTGCATCGTGCTTAGCGAGGCGGCACGAGACTATGAGTTGCGGAATAGCTACTTCAATGCTATGCCGCACTTCTATGGACAACCGGGGGAGAACCCATTAAATTTCATTACCGAATTTTATGGGTTCATTCAAGGTGTGCCTAGGAATGGGCTAAGTGAAGGTGATCTAAGGCTCAAGTGCTTCCCTTACACCTTGAAGGGAGCGGCAAGAGGGTGGTTTCTAGAGCAAACACCGGCATCCTATGCTACTTGGGATGAAATATACAATGTTTTCATCTCCAAGTACTACACTCCCACAATGACGCAAGAGCTACGACAAAGAATCTTCAACTTCAAACAACAAGTTGGAGAACTTTTTCAAGACGCATGGAGGCGTTTCAAGTCTTTGTTGAAGGAATGCCCTCATCACCGCATCCCTCTTGACCTCCAAATTGACACTTTTTACAATGGCTTGAACCCATCTTGTCAAGCTATTGTAGACAACCGAGCGGAGGGGTACATTGGAAACAAAACGGAGACGGAAGCTTTGAGGATTCTTGAGTCCATTGCTTCAAATCCTCAACTACAAGGAGGAGACATCAAGGTGGCGGGAGTGAATGAAATTTCCATCACTCATGAACTTGACAAGAGGTTTGAAGAATTTCAAACCAAAATGCAACAAAATGTGCAAGCATCAGTTCACACGGCTTTGCAAGCCGTTATTGGAGGTGTGAAACAAGCGGCAAATGTGGAGAGTGTCTCCAATGTGGAAGGTAACTCATCTCAACATCTTGAGGATGTTAGTTACATGAACTCTTATGGGCAACGAGGAAACCAAGGAGGAAATAACTTCTCCAACAATCAACAAAGGTATAATCAAGGAACCAATTATAGACCGCAAGGTAATTCTTCAAGCCATCAACCCGGAGTTCCCACATTTGGCCAATCCAAAGAACCTACCATGGAGGAGATGATGAAACTTCTCACAAAAAAATGTAGCCGCTATGCAAGCCCAAAGTGAGGAGAACCATTGTAGAGTGGAGGCATCTATCAAGAATCTTCACACACAATTCACAAAACTTGATTCACGTTTCGAGGATCAAAATAGGAAGCTCAATCAACGCATGGACAGTCTTGAGCAATATACCAAGTCCTCTATTCACAACTTAGAGGTCCAAATTGGCCAACTTGCACAAGAGAGAACCACTAGAGAGCATGGAAGATTTCCCACAACAACGGAGGTCAACCCAAGAGAAACGGCTATGGCTATCACTTTGAGAAGTGGTAAGGAAACGAAGGGGCCGGTTACTCAAGATGCACCAATGGAGAAGCAAGGAGATGAAGGGCTAGAGGAGCATGTCTCATCACCACCACCCATGGCAACATATGTTCCCCCTATCCCTTACCCTCAAAAGTTGAAGAAGAAAGATGACAAAAAGCAATTCAAGAAGTTCCTAGACATCTTCACCAAGTTGAGCATCAACATCCCTTTCATCGAGGCCATAGCGGAGATACCCTCATATGCAAAATTCCTGAAAAATATCCTTAACAACAAGAAGAAGTTGGCTGATTTTGCAACCATACCGCTCACGGAGGAATGTAGTGCCATTCTCCAAAATAAGCTACCGCCGAAGATGAAGGATCCCGGGAGTTTCACCATTCCTTGTTCTATTGGGAGTCTAGGAGAAGTAAGATCCCTTTGTGATCTTGGAGCTAGCATCAACCTAATGCCACTCTCTCTATTCAAGAAGCTAAGTGTGGGGGAGCCTACACCTACAACCATAGCTCTTCAATTGGCGGATAGAACAATCCGTTATCCTATCGGAGTGGTGGAAGATGTTCTTGTAAAGGTTGGCAAATTCTATCTCCCCGTTGACTTTCTTATTATAGAAATGGATGAAATGGAGATTCCGGTTATTCTTGGAAGGTCCTTTTTAGCCACGGCGGGTGCTCTTATTGATGTTAAGAACGGAATAGTAAAATTCCGTATTGGAGAAGAAGAACAAGAGTTTCACGTTTGGGAATCATTGAAGAATCCACCTATTAACTCCACATGTTTTAGTGTCAACTCCACATTTGACACTACACCGCAAAGTACTCCGAAGCATGAATCACATGAAGACCCTCCTATCTACAAGGAGAAATTTGAGACACGGCATGACAAGAAGAAAGGTGAAATAGAACTTCAAGTTGGGCATAAAGTTCTTCTTTATGACTCAAAGTCCCCATTATTGCCCGAAAACTTGGAACCTCATTGGTCGGAACCATTCACCATCATCGAGGTTCACCCATTTGGAGAGATGGTGATCCAACAAGGGGAGAATAAACCTTTTGCCGTCAATCGCCATCATTTGAAGCTGCACAAAGAGTACTATACAACTTCCTATCCATTCAAGAAATGATCACGAAGACGTCCGGCCAATGACGTTAAAGAAGGCGCTTATTGGGAGGCAACCCAATTTCATATCCTTTTTTATTTACATGTTTGTCTTTCATTATGCTTTTATACTCTTATTGCTTGTGGACGATGCAATTCAAGTGTAGGGGGAGAAGCAAAGCAAAGAAATGTGAGGTTTCAAGGCAAATTTTGAACAAAGTGGGCGGAATTAGCAAAGGCGACGAAACCCGCCCGGCTTTAGCGAAAGCCGCCCGGCTTTAGCGGAAGCCGCCCGGCATTTGGTCGCCGTAGGTTAATTTCATTTATTCAGATCGAAAACCGCCCGGTTTTCACGAAACCCGCCCGACTTTCAGGTCTGCTTCCCAGGTATTTTCTCGCACACGAAACCCACCCGGTTTTCGTGGATGTCGCCCGGCTTTTGGGCCCCGAAGGTAATTCCAGATTAATTAAATCAAAAGTCGCCCGACTTTCACGTAAGTCGCCCGGCTTACGGGTTCTGGGAACATTCTGTTTGACCGAAAGCCGCCCGACTTTCACGTAAGTCGCCCGGCTTTCGGGGACGATTGTTATTTTACCTGTTCTGTTTAAACACAAACACACGCACACAACTCCCAAAAGACGCCCGACGAACGTGAGAGCTCGAACGACAACCCCCTTTCTTCACGTTTCTTCTCCTCTTTCAAGCTCAAAACAGGTATTTCTCCATCTCCTTCACTTCTTAAACTCAATTTCATAGCTTTTTCCTCAGTTAATCGATAGAATTGGTTGTTCTTCCCAAATTTCGAATTGTAGGGTTTATGCAAATTGATAGCTTTTAGGCCTAATTCATTGCATGATATCTTGTTCTTGTTGCCTATATTGCTTGTATGAACCATTTCAACCTCTTTTCAAGTAGTTATTTTCATCAATTTGAAATTTTTGCTATTTGGTCAAAATTGGGGGTTTATGGTTCGAAATTGTTGTTCAAATTTGGGGATTTTCAATTGTATTCTTGTGATTAACTGTTGTTAGGCAATGTTGTATTTATATTGGTCTTGGTTGTGATGAATTGTGATTAAAGTCAATTTTTAGGGGAAACTTTGACAACTTTTTAAGAAAATTGACTAGAATTGTTTGAGTTTGTAGGCTCAAATGGCTCCAAAGGGGAAGTCCGTTAGCACCGAGGCTGGCCCGAGCAATCCCAAGCGGGCAAGGAACAACAAGGCACCCGCGGCCTCCTCCACCATCTTGCCTTCTAGCCGGTTTGTCAACACCAAGTGCTATGAACGGTACTTGGAATCTAGGGACAACGATTTCGTTGTTGAGAAGACGGTGTCACAACCTATTGACCACGAGTACCGTCTCACCGAGGTCTTCGCTACTATCGATTGGGAGCCGGTGCTACATCTTGAAGGCACCTTCTACCCGGAGCTCGTCAAAGAATTCTTCGCAAATATCGAGGGAAATAGCCCCCGAAAGATGATTGAGAGCCGGGTCAAAGGGGTAAAAATCACTATCACAAATGACCTCTTGAGATCTCAGTTTCGCATCGCCAACCACGGCATCCCTTTCGCCCCTTCCCAAGCCGGAGCAATGAATAGCGACGTTGAATACAACCCCTTGGATGCGATGCAATATTTCGGCTTGCAAGGACACGAGCTTATGACCAAGAACCTTGGTCAACCACACATCCGGGCCCGACTTTTGATGTACCTCTACTCATTCAACGTCATGCCGAGAGCAAGTGGCTACAACAAAATTCGAAACGCCGACCTCTACTTCGCGTATAGGATGCTTGCCGGGCTTGGACGTTGTGAGGGGATTCCTCTATCAAGCATCATCATCAAACAATTGTGGAGCGCGGCCTTGAGCAATAACCAAGATAAGGCCTTCATTTTCCCTATTCTACTATCTAACATTTTTGAGCATTTTGGTGTTAGCTTTAGAGGGGAAGAAGAACGGGAGACACACGCCGTGCTTGATGATAGTGTCATGATACACCTTCGCTATGTCCAACCGCCGCACGGAGGACCATGGAGGTGCGTGGAGAGATTCCATAGAGTCGTGCCCGAAGAAAATGAAGAAGAGATGATGGAAGGAGGAGAAGCCCAAGGTGGAGAGCCCGAGGGAGGCCATGAGGAGCACCATGAGGAGGCGGCTCACGTACCTCAAGCCGGAGCTCATTACGACATGGACTATTTGACCGAACAATTTGGTCAAATTCACACGGAGCTTGCGGTTCATCGGCGGGATTTGCGGGACCAACGGCGGGCTATTGAAGGCATGGGGAGTCATCTTTGGAACATGAACTACTATTGCCAAGAGTTAGGGCGGCACTTCAGCATTCCACCACCGCCACCTTATGACCCGCACTTTTATTTCCCTCCCCAAGGAGATGGAAATGAAGGGGATGAGTAGGTTATGAAAAGGGAAGTGTACTAAAAATACTAAACTTGAACCACCTTTTCTTTGTTTTTCTTTAAACTCCTTGTGCTACTTTTGTGCCTATTATGTGTTGTTTGATTGCTTATTTTCTTGCTTTGCATTTAATTACTCTTGTGCTTCACATTGGGACAATGTGGAATAAGTGTGGGGGGGTGACTCTATACTTGAAAAATTTGTTCATTTTTGGTCCATTTTTTTTGAAATTTTTTTAGCAAAACCCTTGTCCTTCAAACCCTTTTTCAAAAGAAACTTCTCTTAAGGTTTTGCCTTAATATTTTCATAGAAAGTTTTGAATTTTGCTTGAGGACAAGCAAAGCTCAAGTGTGGGGGTATTTGATAAGCGTTTTATTAACGTGTTTTATATATTCACCTTAAAACGCTTTCATGTGTAAAAAGAATAAAATCTTCACACATCTGCCTCGTTTTGCTAGAAGTGTTCTAAATCAACGATTGGATCAAATACAAGGATGGTAGAATACACACGAAGAAACCGACGGAAAAAGGTCAACCAAACGCATCCCGAGGAACAAATAAAGACCACAAAAAGGCCCAAGACGGACGAAAGCCGCCCGGTTTATGCCAAAGGCGGCCGGCCTTTGGTCCCCAAGCTCATTTTCGCGTCCAAAACTGGAAAAACTGATCCGGAGCAAGAAAGGACGAAAGCCGCCCGGCTTTCGTAAAACCCGGCCGACTTTTGGTCGCCGAATGAATTGTTCAGAATTAAATTACAAAAGCCGCCCGGCTTTTGTAAACGACGCCCGGTTTTCGGGCCCTGGAGCGAAGGCAGGCTATTTTAAACGCGCAAAAGCCGCCCGGCTTTTGCGAATCTCGCCCGGTTTTCGTCTGGCACTGATTAAAACAGGCAACGGTCATCACAATCATTCGAGAGAAGCTCCAAACCCCATTAAGGAGCTTGCTTCCTTGTCCAAAAATGGCCGTTGAAGACCCAATATTTAAGCATATGGAAGCCCTCTCAAGTGAATATTCCATATTCCATACACTTTACTTCCATTTTAGCACTCCAAGATCAACCCCTTGGTCTTGGGAGAAGTTCTACACTTGGGGATCCCATTATCCACCATAGCTTTGGAGTTGTGGTATTATCTTCTTATGTATTTCATTGTATTTCATCATTTCAATACTTGTAATTTCATTATGAGTTGTTCTAGCTAATTTTCCATAGCCAAGGTTAGGGATGAAACTTTACGCACTCTAGGTGCTTGATGTATGTTCTCAACCAAATTGTTATGATCTTCCCTTTATATTTTAATGTGTATGACTACGGTGTACAACGTATGATTATATCGTTGGGTTTATTTGAGCAATTAACGTTGAGTTATAAACCGTGCACTTAAAGGCTAGACATATTCTAATTGTGGATAGAAATATACCTCAATTGAATATGGTGGTTGTAATAATGTCCTAATCTTCAATGGGGTTAATTTTAGATGAATGTGAACCGTGACGGGATTCACACGTAGAATTAATCACAATCTCGCTGCCGTAACAGGAGTTAGAATACTTTAGTGACATTCCACTCATAAGAATTGGTGAAAGAATATACATTAATCGCTAGGAGTCGTTTAGGAGTAATCCCGAACCCTTGGTTGCTTTTATTATCACTTGAAAAACCAAAAATCTTTACTCTTTTACCAAGTCTTTTACAAATTATTTTCTCAACTTTTGAATCATATAAACAACGTTTCCTTGTGTTCGACTCGGTATTTTTACCGGATTTTATTACTACATCGGTACTTGTACACTTGCAAGTCTAAGCCGATCATTGAACTACATTCAAGTACCTTTCATACAATCCAATCCCTAGGATCAATTTAATCAACAAGTTCCAATAATCACTAACTAGTATTCCAATACTATTAAGATTATTGTTATCGTACCATTATCCTCATTGTTTGTAATTCTCTACATATTTATAATTATGTAGCAGCAACTTAAGTATTCAATCTCAATACACAAATATTCATTTATGTATCCACATGATTCATACATGAGCAAAATGCCCATTTTCACAAAATAGTTCATTTATACTCATTTAATCTCATATTATTCATACTTTCTCAAATCATTCCAAATTCATTCTTTGGCAACTATATCAATATTTCATCAATATATAGTCATCATAATCCATGAAAAATCATGATTTAAGCATTTAGGTAATCTCATGCTTAACCTACAAGTTGTAAGCAATTAGATGTCAATCCTCACCTCAATTGAGCTTTAAACTTTCCCTTCTTGGTCCAATGGTCAAATCTTTGGTCAAGGTGGATTTGGGACTGATTCCTTGCTCAAATATGAGTGTTAAACAGCCTCCTCAAAGTGCTAGTTCAACCCTTAATCGTTGATACGAAAACAGCCCCTAGAACGGGTGTTTTCCGGCTAACTCGATTCCTAGTTTTCCAATATTTGCATCTAGGTTAGTATCTAACCTTTACATCAATAAAATAACTTTATAAGGACATATTATACACTTGGATTAGTGTATAATAGTCTCACCAATCGTTCATATCATTTGGAGAATGAAAAGTAAAGCTTTGGGGTTAAAACTCACTTTAGAAGATTAAATCCTCTCCTGCGAGGTTGCGTTTTTCTCGGACGATTTGGAAGCCTTCCACAACTCCGATTCCTGCAAACCAGGCCTTAACAGATTCCTCGTCTTGAGAGCTTTCTTTTGGTATATCATACGCCTTATTTGGACGAGTGAAGCTCAAGTTATGGATCAAACAAGAGACCCTATCTGCTGGAAAACGAATCCTGCGGCCAGCTTCTCTCTTCTCTTCTCCCTTGGAATATGTGGCTCCCTCTTTCTCTCTTATCTTGGGAGTTCGAATGGGGTGTAGGGGAAATGTATTAGGAAGGCCTCAATCATGCTAAGAGAGCATGTGGTTCACAAAAAGAAAGGTGGGGTATTTGATTGCAATCAAACATGGTATGGACCTCCTCTTTTATTTCCTTTTTGTAATGTTGTAGCTCATGAGTCAAAAGTCCGCCCCACATAGTTGTCTCATCCATTTTTCTTTGTCTTTGCAGGTACCAAGGTCATGTGGGATGGTTCCTAAATGATCCCATTTAATTTGGGGTCCAAAATATCTACCAATACTTCCAAAAATGGGAAGATGGGTCCTATTGTTTTATCTTTGTCAAAAGATGTCTTTTTTTGTACTCATTCTAATTTATTTAGAGCAAGTCAACTTCCTAAATCACATTATTGATCTCCAATATGTGTAGGCTCATCCCAATAATTTACATGATGAAAATTACAAAAGAATGCGGGTTTGAACAATACAATATTCAATCATGTACTTCGTAAAATATTAATCGTTTCTTCCATTGCTTTGAAATCGGAAATTCAATACATCACTTTTGAATTTTTAAATCGAATTTTCAAGGACGTTCGGGTGCGGTGTCACAGTACCAGTAGATGTATTCTGTGTTGATTGAATTTAGTAGTCCCTAAGTTATATTATAGTTGTCTTTTCACCCCTAAGTAGTATAGTTACTTCATTTATATAGTTACATGTAAAAGTAAAACAATAAATTAACATGTAAAGTAAAAATAACACTTTAGCTAAACATTATTTTAAAGATGACATATAGCAATAAAATTAATATAGTAACAATATAATTTGACATATATTTTTGGAGAAGTCAGAAGTAATAAACACAAACCTTAACATTTAGCCAAATTTTCTCCCATTTTCCCTTGGCATATTTCCTATTTTACCCCTCTTTCATTCCTCTCTTTATCTTCTTTTTCGTTCTTTTTCATCTATCTTCTCTTCTGTTCACTTTCTTTTATCCGTGAGCAGCCTTAAGCTGCGTAATGATTTTGTGGAATCCTCTTATATAAGATGGGCTAAGCTACTGTTCATTTTTTTTATATTACTTATTTACTTACATGATACAAAATTACTGATACTTACATGGGCTAAGCTACTGACCGAATGATAGAAAGTTAGAAACTAAGGGAACTTCATTATTTGATTATCTAAGGGATCTCCACATAATGTACAATGTATTGAATGTAATAGGGCATTTATTCTGGATTATATTTACTTCACTTCACACACTACATCAGTACATTCAATACATCCTACTGTTTTCTTCCATCGGTTCCTATTTTTTTTCACATGTTTAAAAAATTCAGTTGAAGAGCAGAACAAGATAATTGATACGGAGTAATACTTACCCTCAATATTAGACCGGAGATGGTAGCCGGAGAGATGGTCGCCGGATGCGTGGCTGGCAGTCGGCTCCGGCAACGTAGATGGTAGGCGGCGATGGTACTTGCTCTCTTCACCTCTTCAGCCGCTCAGCACTTTGCCGTTTAGCGTATAATCCGTAGGCGAATAAGGAATTAAGGATGATCAAATTTCAATTATTTTCATAACCTAATGGACTTGGGCAGTTGGGCCAAATGTATTTGAAATAGAGGGCTTGGGCTTTTCAAAATTTATATAATAAAAATAATGATTTTTATAAATAAAATATAATATCGGTTCGGTTCGGTTCAACCGACCTCTAGCATACCAAAAACCGGTACCAAACCGATGTAGACTTCGGGTCCCAATTTTATCGGGTCCCAAATTTCGGGTCCCAACCTTTGGCGGTTCAGTTTTTTTCGGGTCGGTTTTCGTTTTGTCGGTTCAAATTGCCAGCCCTATGTTGAGTGATGACAACCTCCACTTTCTCCATTTGAGCACTTTGTAAAGTTCTTTATCAAGAGTGTCCTTTTCACTACTCAGAATGATCATATCTTCAATAGTTACAAGGTTTTCTTTTTGTGCTCTTGTTGTGATAATACTTCTAGGCTCTAAAGGTGCTAGAGTTAGCTCAAGAGAGATGTTTTGAGATGATGAGTGATCCATTTGAATCAGGGTGATGGTTTTTCAAATGCCTTTTTAGAAGAGGATATAAGGATGTTTTGAGCTTTTGGAGAGTGATACAATTTTGTAAAGCAAGGAGGATATTTATATGGCAAAGATGTGTCAGTGCGCATTCAATTGTTGTAGCAATCGAAGTGTTTTTGTTCCTTATTAATGACTTTACGGCTGGCTCTCTTTTTGGAGCAAAAAACAGCATGGATAAGTGAGAAAAAATTGTTAAAGAAACTCACTTAGATTTGCTTAGAGATTTCGTCCGAAATTTGAGCCAGATGTTTAATCATCAAGGATCAATGTTGCACGTTGCATGTTGCTATATATTCCTCTTGCTTATTTGATCTTCTCTTAGGCTCATTAATGTAACACCTTTATTGAATGTCAACATGCTTTTGATGTAATCAAGATAAATTCCTTCTGCATGGCTGAATTCTGACAAGCACTCCCTCAGTTAGTTTTTCAGAAAATTTCTTTGATCAATTTTGATCTGTATTGTTTGAGCAATATTTGTTATAATTGATGAATTTGATATCCAGAGATATTCTCGTAATTCAGATAGCTCTTTCTTGAATATTTTTCTATTCTTTGAAACATTTGAAATCTTGCAAGCTCGAATAAAACTGGGAGTTGGCTCGCTGGTGTTTTCGGCAGGCAGCTGATTTTTCTGCAGATAAAAGTTGGCTGAATAATTCAGCTTGTTGCTTTCCTGCTGAAACCATCCTTCTTCTTTTCTTCATTCTAGAGTTTCTGGTGACTTGTAGCATGATTTCTGAATATAACTAGTCTTCCTTTTGAACGGTCTCCTTCTATTATCCAGAACGTTGACCGATCTCTGCCATTATGATTTGTTTTTATTGAATAAATCCCACCTCATCTTCAGAGCTAGTCAAGTCATCTGGTTTATGGACTTTGACACTTGGAGTTGATTAGTTGTAATGAGGCCTAGAAACTCTTGAAAGATTGTATAGCATTTTATCAAACATTTCTTTGTAGCTCAAGAAATCCTTTAGGCTTAGTTGAGCCTTTTGATTGGGAGTTTGCTAATGCTTTCTCTTCATCACCATTCATCATCTGAAGAATCATCATTCTTCCATTGTGTTTGTATCTTCTTGAAGCATGAAGTCAACATCCCATGTGTTGATGATTAAGTCCTTTTGACTTGTGACTTAGAAATAGACATTCTTAGGACACTGTTTTTAGCAAGAAGTATCTATTTAACAGGGTGCTCCTAAATTTGGACACTACTATTTTAGTAGGTTGCTCCTATTTTTATTAGGACGCTGCAAGAGAGCAGAATGCTCCTAATAAAAACAAGACTCTACAAAAACAGTAGGATGCTCCTTTTTACTCTGAGTCCATTTCTTGAGTTTTTGTTAGGGTAAGAAGTTCCCCCTCAACCTGTGATAATCTTCTCAAAGCAAGATGAATGTAGTGAAGTTTGCCTTGAACTTTAGTGCATTTCCCCCTAACTTAGATATCCTTTAATTCGATACCAAATGATAATATCAATTGATTTTCAATTTGACGAGGAGGAATACCTTTAAGCTTTCTGGCATAAACATTCCTTCTTCAAGGTTTGTTCAACATTCAAGATCTTGCCTCGAGAAATAGATGTGCTAAGAGACTTTGTTTGCTTGAAATATCTCACTGTTAGAAGCATCATCAAAATCTACCTTTAGTGAAATATGATCCTAACAATCTTTGTGTGATGCTTTTTTATGTTGGTTCAGTCTCCTTTTGAAATGAGACATTCTGATTGGGATTGAACATCATCTGATACATCCATTTATACTTGGGAGCTGGTGAAGAAGGTCTTTCCAGCTGATAATTGCTCCTGATTCCAGAGAGCTATAGAAATTTTTACCAACAGTTAGTAGCAGACAACTGGGAGCTTGCTGACTTTCTGTTTGAGAATATCTTCTTTCCAGTGAGTAAAATTTTGATGACATCCTTGAGGACTGGATGTCTCCTCTTGTCTTAGACTGGCGTGTGCTCAATAGATACTCTCCAAATCATCAACATAAGTTGTGCTAATGATTCAGGAGTCCAATTTGTTGTTCTCCAGTCTTTGACATATTCTTTTCACTCTATGTTCCCATCACTTTTGCCATTGATTTTTCCTTTCCTTTCAGAGCAGTAGTATCACATGTGATACCATGAGAAACCAACAATCATCTTCTAAAATTCATAAGTACCATTTGATAGATTTTGGAGTTGATTTATGTCAAATGATAATTAATGAAATCATTAGATTCTTGTGGTGTTTTCTCTGCTAGCTTTCTCCCTTTATATCATTGAATCTCTTCTGAACCTTTTAATCGTAGTATTGAATGCGCAGGATGACCATAGGGTAGGGGTTGGTCATATACTTGGTTTGTCAGGGTATGAGTTTTCTGTGAATAATATGGATAGTTGCAAGTATACTTTCGTGCTTTGTGCAGTGGTTGACTTCTCAAAAAGTTGTCAACCGGATCTTTTAGGATATAAGTAAGAAAGGTTCTTTGGTACGGAAGTAAGGATACGGTGGATTATATAGTGATGTTGGAACACATAGTTGGTTACTGATCTATTTCTGGATATGTGTGGATAATGGATAGACCAGTAAGTGTTTATTTTCTGGAGGTTAGGGACTGTGTAAGTAAAGCCAGATTCAATGTCATTCTAGTTTTATGATCTTCATTAGAAATGAGCTAAATGAGATTTCTCAGTTTTATTCCTTATAAGATTGATCTTAATCATTAAATTATCCTCTTAGCAA